AATTAATAAACAGTTAAATAAACTACCATCATTATATTTTTATAGGAAGCTGAATGTTTAAAATTCAATCTACCCAGACTTCTAAATTAATTTAAAAGTTTTACCAGCATCTGTGCATCCTGCAACTGCCGACACTGCACATGAAGAACAAATGGTTCAAATTTGAAAACGGCATCACCGTTTGCTTTCTTCAGAGCTACCATCTACATCAATAAAAAGTGATAACATCAGACTCAACTATAGGATCAATAGGTAACACTTTATCTCACATGTAACTTTAATTTTTCCTAGAAATTTTCAGACAAACTCAGCATACTTTGTTTGCAATAACTTTTCATCTGCTTTTTAAATTCTTTCAGCAAAAATTGGTTAAATTGCTTATTTTCTGTAAAGTCTCAATTTCCAATTTTCCCATAAACGTTAAAGTAGTAGCTTACTTTATTGAATTCCACAACAGACTTTTTTTTTCTTTTTTTAAAAAAATGTGATATATGAAAGCTGTGCTATGAGAACTATTTAAATTTGTTTAGATTGAGACAGGACCATATGTGTTGTAAGAGAAGAGTCCAAGCAAATTTGATATCTCCCAATAACTCTGCTTCATATGGAATGTGCTAGTGAACTCTCAATTGTATTGCACACATACACAAAATTCAGAGCAAATCCAATCAATATATTCCAGTTCTCTCTGCATTGGGCACAAGTAAACTTTTCTTGGAATTGCTTAGTTACATATTGCATCAATGGCCCTTAGGCATGTTCAAAATTTTCTGGATTTCAGACCCCATGGGGCAAGGGTAAGGGTCCTTTTACTTTAGCACAAAGTGGGATATATGGCCAAAATGCCCTGGACAGCTGTGTTATAGATCTGTTAGCCATGGGGCATAATACATGGCAAGGAGTTGGATCTTATACTGTCTTTCTTCTCTTGCTGTAAGTAAACATTATACTACTTAAGTCTATTGTGTGTGTTGTCTGTTCTTAGCAACCTTAAATCATGCACTAGTCTCTTTCCTGTGTGGTACCTACCTGCCTTTTGACCTTGGCTGCACTTGTGTTACAGTCTATCCTGCAGCACAGCCTGACCACCTAGTGAAACATGTAATACTATGTCTGAGCTAGAATTTATACAAGACAGTTATTATGTCTGTCTGTCAAGCATTCCTAGGCAGCACCCTCCCTCGTTTTCACCATTTGATTCTGGTATGACTGTCCATCATGACCCTATCATTCATTACTCTCCCTACCATATCAAAGATGTCAAATGTTTATGTTTGATCAAGGACATATCATTCCACTAGCAAAAATAATTAAGCTAAAAGGGAGAACACAGGACAACTCAAGAGTACTTTTCTAGGATTAACACACAAATTTTAGGAAAACAAAGGTTTTTTTTCTGCTGGGGTTGCTGGCAGCTCTCATTTCTGCCATAAAGACTATCTGCAGCAGAAAAGATATGGGCAAACATGCAGAGAACCAGTACCAAAAAATGAAGACAGAGGGAGTGTACTGAAGGTAATATTTGAGTACCTGGTCCAACAGTACCTGATTCCATCTTCACCTCTGTCCTTTCTGGATAGATTGTGATTTCTGCATAAGATGGAATTGGATTTCTAAAYTCACTGGATATGAAAAGTTCCCGACTAATACTAACTTATATGAACTCATCTAAACACTTCAATTTAGGGAACTAACTGAGCACAGATATAAAGATTTTCCAAAAGCAATCCTAGTAAGAAATGTATAATTTATTTATATCAGTGAAGCTGGTAATGCAAGGTCAGGGATAATCCCCTTCTCCTTCTATAATTTGTTCCAAGTTACACAGTTATTAAACAGCAGAATTAAAATTCAAAATTTGGATCTAACCTGTCCAGCATCCATAAACTTTCTACTATGTCCAAAAGATTATGTTTTATTGAGCCATAGATAGTAATGCTAGCATACATATTTATACTTCCACAATTTTATCTCTTAGGACTCAAAAAAGCCATTGTAATGAAAGCTTTCTAATCTTCAGCCATGATAATTATGCACATAAATCACCTTGAAAGGTATGTTCTTTTCATATGTATTTAAAGTAACTGTGAATTAAAGTTTATTTCTAAATTTATATATAAGAACTTACCATATCATCTTTTACGCAAGGTATATGTGTAACGAGTAGCCAGCAACAGTTTTGTTTCTGAACCCCCAAACCATTTATACCCTAAAATAACAAAAAACAGAAATTTAATCATAAAATATTTATAAAAATAAAAAGTATACTGTGTAGCATATTAAGGGCTTTCTTAAATTAATAATTTTTAATAATTACTGAAAACAATTCAATATGTTTTTGGGTAAAGTTAGCTATAAACAAAAATGAACTTAAATAATTTGACATATGATTTGAAAGGTAAAGGTACTTAATGTTCTCTGAAACATTTTTGTGAGAAAAAGATTATAATCAGTTTCCATTAACAGCATCTGAGTTGTGTGGTTTTATTTGGCTAGCACTCTATTACCATTTTTTAAAAAATACCTTTTGCAGGATAGTAGTGCCTCAGTAATACAAAAGACCTACCACTCTTTACTGATGTCTATGCTGTTCACATCTTTATARTATTTTTCTGGTCTCTGTGAGCATATATTTATTAATTTTGTAATAGACTTCATGTGCAGCCTAAAAGAGAGGTAGGACTGAAAAGTCATAAAGTTTCAAGAAGGAACACATTTTAAAAATGACATAAGGGGAGAAACATTTATTACAAAATCCTATATTCTACCCTTAAAAGACTGCAAAGAGATAGGAAACCACATACACAGAAATCATGGTACTTCTACAAAGTAACTATTTATACAATATACAATGGGTCCACAGGAGATTGCTCTCTGGACAAGAGGCAGTATATTCTGAATAACTGTTTTGTTTTCCTTGTAAAACTTCAGTAACTATGTGTACAACCTTGTACTGGCTGCTATAAATCTCTCAGACAATGTGTGATCCATCTTCACCAAGTTAACAGGAATTAATTGCATAATTGAGCACTAATGCAATCTCTGATTTATGTTGTCTGTATTTCCTTTATTCAGATTTCCCCACTTTTTGTTTTTTCTTTTCCCTTTAGGTAAGTTGCTCCAAACTCTTTCTAAAATAAGGCAGAGTAAAAATAAACATAATACATAAAATGAAAAGAGATTCACACAAAGCTTGAGCCAGTCCAGAGCAGTCATTACCTTGAGTAGTGTGTATGTGTATGTGTGTGTGTTTTGGGGTAAAAAATGAAAGTTTTGGGAATCATCTCTCAGATATGTAGAGATGGGGAAAACATTTCAGAAAGAAAAGTAAAGGCAAAATACAAGATAACAGTTCAGTTTCTTAATATGAAGAGGCGTTGTGGAAAACAGGGTTGAAAGGTAGAGATTTGTATTTTCTGATGTAAAAAAGTGTGCAATAAAGTTTCAGCATAAATGAATGACAAAAATAATTTTGCTTTAAAAAAAGTTTATCTAGCCAGGTATGGTGGCCCCAGACCTGTAATCCCAGCAGCTCGGGAGAGTGAGGCAGGAGGATCGCAAGTTCAAAGCCAGCCTCAGCAAATTAGCAAAGGCCCTAAGCAACTTAGGGGGACCCTGTCTTAAAAAAAAAGAAAAACAACAACCACTACCACTACACACACACACACACACACACACACACACACACACACACAAATACATCATACATACATGGTTTGGGGGAGAAAGAAAAACATTGGTTCAGTGACTTGTTTGGAAACTACTGCAAAATCTAGGTGAGATAGAAAGAGGGGATGAGAGAGGGTGTATGGGCAAGAGTGTCAGTGCTCCACATGCAATGGAAGCAATATAAAAACCAACAKGCCTTGAAAACTTGGGAAAACAGCAAATGATCAGTCTATGCTGGACCTAAATAATGAGCCTATGCATATGCTATCTTCGATGCTCTGAAATCAATATTACTTAAAAAAATGAATACACAGCCAAATTTTAAAGCACACAATAGCTTGATGCTAAATATTTCAAAAGAATCCCAGTTCTTTCACACAATTCCTTTAGAGCAGACACTCTATTTTCCTCAGTTCACGGAACAGAAAGGAGCTGAGTTTAAATAGCTACCCTAAGGTCACACAGCCAATAATTCCAGAAACTGATTTGGATTCTAAGTAGCATCACTCCAAAGCCTGAGAAATTGACCCTCCTACAATATACTCCCCCCACCCAATCCCTATTACAAAATTACCAGGGCTGTAATAATGCAGTGGGCCGCTAGGAGGCAGTGAGCTCCTTAAATCTGATGACGTTCAACTGAGTAGTAGCAAGGATTTGGTAGACCGGTTGAAGTGTGGGCTCAGGCTTCAAACTCTCCAGGCCTGGAGAAAATCAAATTCTCTAACCCTTTCCACTCAACATAGTTTTCAGGCCATCATTTGTGTACTTGTTAAAAATGCACAAAATCAAGCCCTACCCTAGACATACAGAACCAGAATCTGCTTTATTAAAAGACACCCCTCCACCCCGCGCTCCAGGAGATTCATACGCAAAACTGTCTTAGAAGCTCTGGTCTGATACACACATAAAGAAACCGAGACCACCCACCAGAGGAACACGGACAGGGTGTTCCATTGAGTGGGCACAGGGCTTCTAAAGTTGGGTACCAGAGGACAGGCGCTGGAAGGACACAAAGAAGCCTCACCCCGTCTAGGAGGAGGATGCGGCCAGCGCAGGAACTGGTGGTGAAAAACTGTTCTCGCGCGTTCAGGAGCTGCACAAGYTCGATCACATCTTCGTCCACACTGCCCTTCCGGCTGAGATCTGCTTTACTCAAACACTGTGCCTTCCACTTCTTGAATTCTGCGCTGCGATCCATGCGTGAGGAATTTAGAGTCCTCGCTCTCCACTTCGGCATTCATCTCTCCTCTCCCTGGGGGCAGCCATATTGAAGCGAACGGTGGCCGGAGAGGGCCAAACTTCCTCGTCGTGCAGCCCTCGGTAGACTCTCCGGCCCTCCCCTGCAAGTCAAGAGAAGCGCGCTGGCGAGGCGGAGCCTGTAAAAGTTGGAAACTGTCGGCCCGCCCCCGTTCTTCTGTGGATTCTGAGGGCGCCTGGGCAAGTTTTAATCCCCACTCTAAAGGCGGTAAGTGGTTTTTAAAAGTCCTCTTAATTGTTCAGCCTGAGAATCCTCGGGACTCTCGTCCAAACTGAACGGTGCTGATTTTGTCTGCACTTTTCTCCTGCCTTGTTCCCAGACAATCAGTGCACCGGGAGCTCGACTGCGAAGCCGTTCCTCTCTAGAAGCCGCAAGTTTTCAGCTGAAAAAATCAACTGGGGAGTTTCACCTTTTGGTCCTGGCCGTCTGGCCTGGTTTCCAGTAGGATCTTCGTTTGGGATTGCTGCACCGCGGGTCGCTGCTGCCCGCCCCCAGCCTCCAGCCGGCCTGTCCCTCGGCGGGTGCTACCCTGGGGGACATCTGCAGCTGCGCGCGCCAGTCGACACAGGCCCTCWGCCCCTGCGCGGCTACAGGAGATTGCTCCCCCTAAATTCCCGCAGCTGTAGGTTTCTTAGCACTCTTAGGGAAGTAAACCTGCTGTCAGGATTGCAGGCTGCCGTTTGGGAAGAAATATATAGTTTTATGTATAAATACATAGTTTTATGTAACCCCCACCTAGAATAATCTTCAAAAGGAAAAAAAAATCCTATTAACACTTGGCTGTATATTTACAGTTTCAAGAGGAGACTCATCTTAGTGACCCGGGAAGTGACCTGGGAAGGTGCATTAATGATTGAACCATTCAAAAGCTGAAGTCTGGAGTCCTTGTCCACAGCTAATGAAAGTGGCAGTGTGAGTGCCATTGAAGCCACTGTGACTGGTTATTGCATTAGAGACTTCAGTAGCAGATCTCATCTCACATAGCTCTATCCCAACAGTGGAGAGCAGCCTGCCCTATTCCATCTAAGACCTTGGAGGGGTTCTGAATTATTAACCGCCTCCCCACTTTACCTTTCCTTATCTAAACGGACCCAGAGATCTAGTGACAAGATCACACATCTAAGAAAAGGATTGCTGACAAACCCCCCTCCCATTTCTGGGATAAGAAAAGTAAGCAGTATATTTATATGAGACATTCTTGATCAACAGCAACACAGTTTTGTAATAATTGGATCTTTTTCCAAGTTTTCACTTTTAATTTTTTTTGCCAGAATTCTTACTTAATTTTTACCTTTGCTTTTGTCTCCTAATGTGCCTTTATTCTGGCTTTATGAATTGCTGTACTTTAACTTTCATTTGAATCATATGGAATCCAGCATAGCCTGAACACGACCAATGCTAGAAAGGGAATTTTAAGTTTTTAAAAGTTTTTAAAAGTGGTTTTTAATCCTAGATTTTTGATGTATGATTGGCAACTAGTCAGAGGCAAAAATCAGAACCAAAAATTACACTGAAGTAGTCCAAATAATTTTTAAAAGTAGGCATTTGATAAATAAAAAGGCCTGTTTAAGACACACTTTAATTAAAAAACAGAAGCAGTGGAAAGCCATGCCTGTCCACCTTGAGTCCACAAATGATTTGCTCTGAATATTATAAAACTTAGCGTATGCAAGGCTTGTGTAATGGTTAATTTGAATTTTCAACTTGATTGGATTAAGAGATGCTGAGGATAAGAGGATTATGGGTATGCCAGTGAGGGTGTGTTTAGGAATGCTTGGCATGTGGGATAGGCAACTAAAATGGAGACCATCTCTAAGGGTGGGCAGCACTGACCAATAGGATGATGGCTTGAATGAAATGAAAGTTGGAAGAGCAAGGAGGCAGCAGCAGATGCAAGCTCCATTCTTCTTGATCTGGTTCTTGATTGCTGCTGCAATTAACTGAGGCTATCAATCTCTAGCTTCTTCACTCTTCCAAAGCTGATTGTCCAGAAGCCTTTGGTCTCTAACTAGGGTAGCACCATTGATCCCTCTTGTTCTGGGGCTTTAGCCTCTTGGACTGCGCAGCTACTGGTTCTTCCAGCTCTCTAGCCTGCAGATGGCCATCAGGGACTATACAGCTTCTGGTCCTGTAAGCCAGCCTAATAAGTCCGCCTTTTATAATTATACTTCCTGTTGATTCTGTCCCTCTAGAGAACCCTTGACTAACACAGCATGCCAGAATAACTCTGCCTGGTTAGTTGCAGTTAATCTTCACAGGAACCCCATGCTCCTGAATATTATCTCTATTTTCCAGATAAGGGAATTATTAATTTTCCTAATAGAATCATGTCTATTGTATTTCTACTGAATTTCCTGACTTACAGGCATTTGAGAAATTTCAAACTAAGTAGATACTTAATCATAAAATATGTAATCCTACCTAAAGTTTAATTAAATTTTATATTTCTAACTCAGACTCTCACACTGTCAACATTATGAGATTTATTTCTAGAAATTGAGGATAATCTATGCCAAAATTTCTAAGGTTGAAGGTTAAAGGATTATATAATAAGGAAAAAAATCTGTAAAGTGTAGGACTTGGGTTCTAGCTTTGTTTCTGTGTGATCCTGGCCAAGTCTCTTTGTTTCTGTGTGATCCTGGCCAAGTCTCCAGCAATGTTTTCTCATTCATAAAAATTATTTTTATCATTATTGATTTTATTTTTACTTCCACATAAAATGACACTTTTAACCACTGTTGTTTCTCTGTTGTGAAAATATTTTTATAGAGTTGAAAGACTCTTTTAAAAAAAAGTCAGATATTGTGGGAGTTTCAGAATTATCATAACTGCTATCAATATGTCATATTATTTTATTTTTATTATAATTTCTATTGACATAATACCTGTATTATGAAGCAGATGAGGAGCCCATAGTTGATTTAAAAGGCAGAGACCAGATTGGAGCCTGACCAATCAGAATGGCCAAGGCTTTGGGGAAATAAGATCAAGAGAAGCAGATCAGAAGAGAGTGCTATCAAGGTCATGCCCCATCTCTGTATAAGCTCCTATGGAGGATGTGGTGGTACTGGGCAAAGCAGGTGGGTCTTCTAAATCCAGTATTAAGGATGAGTCTTCTGTCCTTTGTTCCTCCCTATTTAGCAGTTTCCAGAACATAGGGAAAACAATGTATGTTAGATATAAGGTACATATCCTATTTTAGAGCAATTTTAATTTTTATTATTACTACAGTTTTTTTTAGGCTAATGATCTCTGCTGATGAAAAGATGTGAGCACTTGAAAGAAACAAATAGTAAATAGGTCCMTACTGAAAATGGAAAGTTATGCATCTTACATGGGGTAAATGAGAGAGAGTGAGTACAGAGTGCACAGGATCTGCAGGAGTAGGGCATTTTCTGTGTGTCCTTTGTATTTTCTGGGTTTAGTATAATACCTCATGTATATTTAATGTTCAAAAACTACTTGTCAAGTAAATAAGAACCACTTATTKGTATTAAAAATTTGTTTAAATGATTATCTAGACTGGATTCTTTGGGGATAAGACCTTGTTTTCCTAACCAGGTTCTGTAAATATTGTTATATTGAAGATGATTATAGAAATAGAATGAAGTATATTTTTATGAATCAGAAATCAGAAAGAACTAATGCTATGTGCCATATCTACTGTGTAGTAAATCTGAGTGGAAACCCAGTTTTCAAATGAGGACACAAGCTCACAATGTTAACTGCCTTGCCCAAGCTATGGGGCTAGAAAATGATAGAGCTGGGATTCCAACCTAGGGCTATTGGACTCCAAACACACACACCTCCCATGGTACCATGTTGAAAACAACATTAGCAAACAAACAAACAAACAAAAAAAGGATGGGCAAAAGCTGTGTTCTTTTTTCACCATTCTACCATGGGAAACTCTGATCTGGGTGATCTTTTTTTGTTTTATTTTGTACTTTTTTGTGTCTGTGAGGTACTGGGGATTGAACCCAGGAATATTCTATTGCTAAGCAACATCGTTTTATTTATTTTGACTTTTTTATTCAGAGTCTTGCTAAGTTGCTTAGGGCTACACTAAATTGCTAAGGCCACCCTCAAGCCTGCAATCCTCCTGCCTCAGCCTCCTTCCTGAGTTGCTGGAATTATAGGTGTGTCTACTATGCCAAGCTCTGCTTTCACTGTCTTGTCTATGAAAAGTCCCAGCTTGAGTGAAAACCTGAAAAGAACTGTAGTGAGATTGCTAGGTATGACTGTTTGCCTTCTCTGGGTCCTTTGGAGTGATCCATCTACCTGCAAAACCGTGTRGCTGCTGTGCTGTCTGTGCAGCTCTGTTTATACCCTCTGTCTGCATCTCCCTCTTTGGAAAATTTCATATTTTCCTTTGGAAATTTCACGTTTGCCTTTGTGCTAGGTGCTGTTTTATAACAGATCATTTGAACTAAGGATTTTTAAATGGTAAATTTCTTATTATATCAGTAACTTTCCATTAATAATACTACCAAAATGCTTTTGGCCCTCCTTCCCCCACTCCAAGCACACATGGAATGACACTTTGTAACCAATAAAGGCCCTGGGCTGAGTAGTCCTGTGCTGAGCTCTGATAAAAGTCTGAATTCTTTGATCACAGGTCCTACTTTTTGCAGCTCTTTCAGATTGTACTGTTTGTGTTTAAGGTGTATGATTTTTGCAGAAGTTAACAAAGATGTTCTAAGCAGTAGCATAATCTAACAATATTTAATTTGCTTTACTTCAAGAAATTATAATAACTCACAACTAAGTTTATGGAACTATAGTCAACACCTTTTCATTACATCTCTACAGGTACAGAGAATTTTCCAAAGTTACATGATTTTATATCCTCATGCTCTTTGCCTAAGAGTTTATTTTAACTCTCAATTTTCATTTTATTCTAATATTAACAGTGGTAAGACATAAAGGTTAGGTAAGCCCTTGTAATTTACAAAAGATTGTAAAAATTGTCTAGTGTTTTTTTTAGTTTTTAATGTTTTTCCCCTTTTGTTAAAATGATCTACATAAAGCCAAGTGCTTTACTTTGATACATCTCAAAACTTAATGCTGAATGAAAAAGCAAATTGCATAAGTAAGTATGAAACAACCTAAAGTTTGCAAAACAACCTAAAGCTTACAAAACAGTAGCACAGATTGCTTACTACTGCACATGGGTGTGTTAGTGGTAGAATGTACTTGGGAATGATTAGTACTGGATTCACTAATGAAAGGTTCAGAAATGGTTTTAGGGATGGGCATGACAAGCTTCATGTTTTTAAAGATTTAGATTTTTAAATGTTGAGGTTTGTTAAAGTTAGGTATGAAAGTGTTTAATTATATTCTCCATATTTCTCTATGCTTGACATATTTCATAATCTTATCAAAATGAAGTCTATCTAATAAATCTTATATTATCTCCTAAAATTTTCAAGATGTTGCAACCCAAGCTTACACAAAAGAAAGCATAAGATATGGTATCATGTTGTCTATCCAGATGTTTCTGTTTGCATGTTTGATTACCTTGTTGAAAGCACTGAATCCCCACAGGAAGGCTTTGTAGCTGAAGGATTTGTAAGATGAAAGATTCTTAAACATGAAATGAGATCAGTGGTAAGCTCGTGACTTAAATTGTTGTTTGAAAAATTGTTTGATCTGCCCCCTCCAGGGTGGAAGTGGGGGAAGCCTAGTGATAGCCTAAATACAATATGACAATATTTTAATTTTTTTTTTTTTTTAGTATCTAGGTCACCATGGCAACTGGACAGAAGTTGATGAGAGCTATTAGAGTTTTTGAATTTGGTGGACCAGAAGTACTGAAGCTGCAGTCCGATGTTGTAGTACCGGTTCCAAAAGAGCATCAGGTGGAAATAATACCCTCATTCAGGCAATGATTACACAGAATGTGAAACCCTAGCACATCAAGTTAGTGTTCAAAAGCAGCAGACTAACAATGATTTATAAAGACATTGAATTTGGACAAAGTTTACACTGGTTATATGCATGAACTCTGACAAAATTAACATAGAGCTAAAAATTAGTGAAGTAAACATATGAAAAGAAATAGCCTCTGGTTTTAAGAAAATTTTTGAAGTTGAGAATCAACTCACATAGTGTAATAATTAGATTTTTCTGAATGGAGTCAAAAGTAGTTTTGATACCTTTTTTTTAATCAAAAACTTCCTTGGTTTTTATTTTGCACATGATGGGGAAAAAAATTCCTTCTGCATTCATAGTTTTTCACTTACGAATTAAGAGAGTTTAATTGTAAAGCTTAATCATCTCAAGTGACTTTAACAATATCCTTTTGATTCAAAATCATATGTTTTTATTATTGTACCTTCCATAGCTCCCTAGTCTAATTTCCTTAGCAAGCCTTAGAGGGTTTTCACAATGTGGCTTTAACCTACCTTTATAAATTTATTTCTTATCACTCCCTCAATAGACAGTGCTATAACAACATCAAACTTTATTCATTTCCCCAAGAAGCCCTTTCATTCCTTCTGTCTTTGCATGTACTATTCCTTTTGCCTAAAATGATCATTTTCCTCCCATTCCTATAGAATCTCTACTCATCTTTTAAGACCCAATTCAAACACTGCTTCCTTCTTTAGGTTTTCCTTATTCCTATCGCAGAGTTCATCACTTTGTATGAAAGAAAACTTGGTTTCTGTACTAGAAGTAACCTCAAAATCTTAATGTTTCAAAAATAGACAATTATTTCCCACATTTTAAAATGTTGGTGGATAGTCCTCCAGCAGTGACTTAGGAGGACACAGGCGTCTGTGCTCATCGGGCTCCACCACCTTCAGCACCTGAGTTCTGAGGTTCCCAGGAAAGGATATAGAAGCACAGTGTGGATTGCCTAGGAAGGTTTTGATGGGCCAGGCCTGTAAGGGGTTTTCATCACTTCTGCTCACTGGCTGGCACTCAGGCCCTTCACTCCTCTTAACTGATAAGGAGGCCAGGAAATAATGTTTCCCATGTGCTTAGGAAGAGGAGGAAGTAGATTTGGTAAAATATAGGATCTCTGCCACACATATCCTTAAATATTTCTTCTAGTGTTTTCCCCAAATCTTTTTAATATAGCTCAGAAACCACTCTGTTTTATTTTGTATTTACATATTGGTTCACAGAATTAGAATGTGAGCTGCTTGAGGGAAGGGATTAGTTTGTTTTGTTTTCTCCATTTTTATAGCTCCCGTAATCCATTTGGTTATAGCGTAACCCTAGATTAATGCCTAAATGCTCTGTGTAACTAAAATGCATTGTCATTTCAGGTTCTAATCAAAGTCCACGCTTGTGGTGTAAACCCAGTGGAGACATATATCCGCTCTGGTACTCATTTAAGTAAGCCGACCTTACCCTACACACCTGGCACTGATGTGGCTGGGGTAATAGAGGCCACGGGAGATGAAGTATCTGCTTTCAAGGTATCACATTTTAAATTATTTCCATTTTGACTTACTTTTAAAAAAAAACATTTTAGCATATCTTTAAAACATATCTGCATTTAAGACTTTCAAAGGCCCCATTACCCAATTTCTGCCACTTGGGGGACTCCTCTAGTCAAAAAAGAAATGATGTCTTATCCAGAGGGTTTGTTTGTTTGCATCAGTCGGAGCAAATGCTGGATGATTTCTATATCTAACAACTCCACGGAAGGAACTGTGATCTTTTTAGTTTAATAAAAATATGTAAGTAAAGAACACAAATAAGGAAATTATACTGTTTCCAAACTCTTGGTATTACATAAGCCAGTTTTATAAATTTAGTTTTACAAAATAAAGGGAAATTGAATTCTTTTGAAGGATTAGAAAACTTGAAAACATGCGAGGTCATTGTACAGTTTCAGAGCTGAGTCAGAGCAAGGTCAATGGAAATGTTTTGGTCAGGGCTTTTGTTATTTATATGCTAAAAGACATATAAAGCTGATAGTATATTCATAGCATACTCATGTTCTAGCATCTTTTCTGATAATTTTTTGACCTACTCAACTTTGGCAGCACATTTACCAAAATTAGGCTGGAATGGAGAAGATTAACATGCCCCTGTACAGGAAGAAGGGTAAATTCATACAGCTTTCCACTTCTCAGCCTTTGGCAATCTGGCTTCTGCCCCCAACGATCCACTGAAAYGATTCTTGCTAATGTCACTAATGGCCTCTGTACTGCGGAAGTTAATGGGCCCTTTTATGTCATTATCTTTCTTGACTTCTCAGTGACATTTGACACTCTTAGCCACTTAACTTTTTCTTTAAAAAAAAAACAAAAAAAAAAAAACTTTTTTTCTAAAGCTTCTGTGACATTATTTTATCCTGTCCTCTCGCCTTCCCCTCTGAGCATTCTTTTTCAGGACTCTTTTTCTCTGGTCCTCCTTAAATCTTCATGCTGCCCAGGGCTCTTTATCCCTGTTTAGATCTCTGCTTTTTATATTTGGTGTCTTTCCTGATGATCTCATGCACTCCCTTTATTTCCTTTTTCATATGTGTTATCTTAACCTAGAATATTCTACCGAGCTGTTCAAAACAGTAGCCACTGACCCTATTGACAATTAAAAATTCCAAATCAAATAATTTAAATTCAGATTGAAAGTGCAGTTCCTAAGTCATACTAGCAGCAATTCAAATGTTTAGTATTCACATGCATCTAGCTGCTACTCTACCAGTCTTATGGTAGAGTATAACCTAGACACAGTAGGACAATATATTAATTTTTTTCTTAGTATCTACCAGACAGTGCAGATATCTGAATAGATTTCTATCAGTACAAAAGTTCTGTTGAATAGCCCTGGACCTCCATAGCCAGGCTCTGGGAACCTCTCACTCAGTGAATCTACAAGAAAGCTCATCTTTTCTCACTGCAGATCTGCTCCTCTCTTATGTAACTGCGTTGGCAGCTTCTAGGGTTTGAGGCTCACCTTAGAACTGCATTCTCTCTCCTCTTTCCATACCTAGCACCTATAGTTTAGTTTAAGCTATCTTACCTACTTAACTACACCTCTGACCTGGGATTCTGTGGTAGACACTTAACTTACTACCCTCTCTCCTTTCCTTGAGAATCTACTCCTACTCTAGAATCTTTTCCTAGCATGTAATTCTGAGCATTTTATACCTCTATTTTAATTCTTGCATTAATTCCTTATAGATTTCAGGGTATGGATGAAACTCATTGTTATGGAATAAGAGGGTTTCATGCTCTCTCCCCCTATCTTATCATTTTTATCTCCTACTCCTTCTCACTCTACAACTTACTCTTTACTAATAAACTATTGTCCTTCCCTGCACATCCCATGCTCTCTTACGTCTGTGTTTTTGTTCATATTGGTTCTTCTGCCTGGCAGAAGAACTAAACTGAAAGTTATATACACAGAGTCAAGTAACTTCATGTTACTTTTGTACTCCAACTTTAATTTCTTTCCATTTTATTCCTGAAATCATTACATACCACACATGAAGTATGTAATGCCAGTATGCCAGTACTTACCTTTTTTTTTTTTTTTTTTGGTACAGGGGATTGAACTTAGGGGTGCTTAGCCACTGAGCCACATCCCCAGCCCTTTTTTATATTTTATTTAGAGATAGGGTTTCGTTGGGTTGCTAAGTACCTCACTAATCTGCTGAGGCTAGTTTTGAACTCGACATCCTCCTGCCTCAGCCTTCCGAGTTGCTGGGATTACAGGCAGGCACAACCATGCCCAGGTTTAATACTTACCTTCCTATTAAGAATTGATGCTTATAATGTCTCAGCATTTATTCCCGCCTCTATTTCTTTGCTATCTTTGTTTTCATGACTCTTGTTGATTATTCCCAATTCTTGTTTTCAAAATCTTGTCCTATCCTTCAAGTTCTACCTCAAATATTAGCCGCTCGATGGAGCAGTTCCTCAATTTTCTCAATTTAGAAGCAATTCCTTTCTTTTTCTTTTACCTCTCTTTGATGGCTCCTTGTGTTTATTTTGCTTTCCAATTATTTCTGTTCTTCTCTCTCCTCCTAGAGTTTAGGGTGCTTAAGATTAGAGATTGTGTCTTGCTATTAATTTTCTTTGCAGAACTCAAAATAATGCTTTCCAAATTGTGAATTCTTAGTAAATGATTGAAATTGAAATCAGTTCAACAAGAGTTTAAGCTGTAAAAGCAGGATTAATCTTAACCTAGGCATGCTTGACCCTTGCAGGTGACATTATTAAGTGGTAATGCTTGTCTTTGACTCTCAGTTACCTTTTGAATCTTTTCTCATCTCCATCTCACAGCATAATGTTGTTACTTTTTCAGGTTTCTTTATTATAGGACCAATTAAAGTATACTAAGTAGTCATTGCCTCCATGTTTTGCCTATTCCAAGGAATACTTACCTTTATTTCCCAAAAAAGAGGATTTAAGGGGGCTGCTTAAAGTGAGCAGAATGATTTTCTAACATGCAAATCATACTGGACCTCTAATGCCATGCATGTGCTTGGCAGGAGTTTATTGAGAATTTACGTGTTTGGTGCTAAAGTGAAGAAACCTATCCTGGCTTGTCTTGCTGTTGGGATCCTGGCATGGTTTCCTGTTTCTGGATTTATGCATAAAAAATGATAAGAGTGCATCCATGGAGAGGATCTTGAACAGTTGTTTGTGTATTAAAGAAACTTCACATTTTTGTTTATTCTCTCTGGTATTTTATGTGTGCATGTGCATGGACACACACACATACGCACACACATAATAGCAGTTTGTATTAATTAACTTTGACAAATTGATCCGAGGAAATTACAGAACTTCTTTGTACCTCAATTTCCTCATCTGTGTAGTGGGATAAATCTAAAGTGAAGATAATAAAAGTGCACATCTTACATAGGTAGTTGTGAAAGTCAAATAGGACCAATAAGTCACTGACACAGTGCTTAACATAGTAAATTCTCAGTAAAGATGAGTTGTTATCTTTGTCATCATCAGGCTATTCCCAAAGTCCTTCTTTTATTTTTTTCTATTTTCTTTCCTTGGTTTCCATTAAGAAAACATTTAAAAATGTTCAGTATTTTAAAATTATTTTTATGCATTCCTAAGATGTAGAAAACAATATATAAATACACATTTCTTCTTATAAAGGTTACAACTCATCTTGGCATAATTTTGAAGCCCTGGTGCACATGTCTATCTCTTCCCCTAGAAAGGTGACAGAGTCTTCAGTACCAGAACAATCTCAGGGGGCTATGCAGAGTATGCTCTCGCAGCAGATCATACCGTTTACCCACTGCCTGGGAATCTGGACTTCAAACAAGGCGCTGCCATCGGGATCCCGTACTTTACTGCCTTTCGAGCTCTGCTCCACAGGTAATGACATACTCAGTAAATTTTATAGCTAGTGCCAGAGGAGGGCACTGTGAACCTCCATTCTTCCTGCCATCTGTCATGCATCTGTCTGTCACTTTGGGTTACTAGTTTTATACCATCAAACATTTATGGAATGGAAACTGTGCTGATTTGGGTGATTGTGCAGATCACTGGGAACACAAAACAGAGCAAATAACATCTTCATGATGATCGCAGTAGTGAGGGAAATAGACATAAGAGTAATAGTATTTCTATGTAATGGGGAAAGGACAATGGTGACATGTATGTGGGGATTTGTGGGATCACAAGGGATATATGTAGTGATGAGGTTTGGCCCCTGGAAGATGTGTGAGTCTTGGATTACATTAAAGACATGGTTCGGAAATTCTGTTAGCTATTGGATTTACATGTGCAGCACCTTAAAAGTGCAGCAGAGGCCCCCACCTCAGCTCTCCCCCATCTGAGAATCTATATTTTGGTCAAATCCCCTTGGCATTTGAAGAACATCAGGGAATTTGCCTGGGGAAGGGTAGCTGGTAGGAGCAAGGACATTCTCAACAATGGGAATAGAATGATGTGTGGGGAAAACAGCATGGTGTCTAGGGAGAGCTGTAGCAATTTGGTTTTGTTGGGTAAAAGATTTCAAGGCAAAGAGTGACAGAGAATAAGGTTGGAACATAACCTCTCAATAAATGATAGCTATTATCATCAAACAGGCAGATTTCAAACTGTAGAAAACTAGGCTGCAGAGCTCACACATTCTTATGAAAGTTTTGGAGGTCATAAAGTGTTTTATTCAAGAGAGTGCTGTTGTTATATTTGTGATTCATTGAGATCACTTATCTGCTGTGTGAAGGATAGATTTGAGGACAGGAGGAGCAACAGATAGGAGAATACTGTAGGAGTTTCCTCTGGACAAAATTCTTGTGATACAAAATAAAGGTCATGGTAGAAGAGATCATGGTAGAGGATGGAGACGAAAGGACAACTATATAAAGTTGTCTATCTAAAGGACAACTATATAAAATCAGGAGGATGTGGTAGTTTTTTGCAGGTATATAATGAAGGAGAGGGAGAGCTTAAGGATACTTATAGCTTTTTAGCTTACATAGTATATAACTACGACAGAAAAGGAGTAGAAAGTCTTGGTAAACTGTTTGGTTTTGGACTTGAAATTGTGAGTCAGTCTTCCCATATCACAATAGAGAACCTCAGTAGCCTGTAGGATAAAAGAATCTGAACCTTAAAAGCTAGAGATATAAATTTGGGCAAGTCATCATGTAGGTGAGTAGATGAAAAGTGGTGGCAGTCCCTTGGGGAGTGAGAATAGGACCCTTGTGAACATTTAAGAGCATAGGCAGATGAAAGTTACAGAGTCCTCAGGGAGCTGTAGGGAATGGATCCCTAAACCGAGAGTGTGGAGATCACAATATTCATGAAACACCCAGTAAGCACACGGGCTTTGAAGATAAGAGACCTGGCTGGGCCAGAGTCCTGTCTTTGCCTAAATGACCATGGTCAAGTTACTTCCCCCTCTCAACTGTAGTTTACTTATTTGAAAAATGTGGATAATTACAGAGTCTACCCTCTAGGGGTGTGTTGAACTATGTGTGTGAAGCTTTTAGGGTGGCATCTGGCACAGAGAAAGTGCTCAGTTTGTGTTGGTTGTGGTAGGAGTTGTGGCTTCCTAGCTAGGAAGGAGGGACACCAGCTGTCAGCAGTGATCAGGGAGGAGAGGAGAAGGTTACTGTTGAAGAGAATGGGGGAAGGGGGAAGAGGTTGAATTTTTGGGGGGGCGGGGGTGTACAAAACTTGAACATGTTTATAGCTAAGAAAGGAAGGGAGGAAGGAAGACTGATGGAACAAGATCTTGTATAAGGCCACATGGATAGGACTCAGGACATTGTAGAGAGATTGGCTTCAAATATCAAAAGGACATATTTACCCTGGAAGGGTAAGGATCATAATTATGGAAAATTCTGTGGGGGTATAGAAGGAGCTTATGTGTGATTGCTTCACTTTTCATAATGAAGTAGGAGGCAAAGTGATCTCTTGAGAGTTAGAACTGAAGGGCACCAAAATGCAGTGTTATAGGATTTTCTTCCCTATTACTAACCCTTTGGATAAACATTTGAGGAAGTTAGGTTTTAATGTTAATCCAAGACTGGAATATTAATAGCAAATGGAATAGTTCAAAGGAACTGAGAGCACTGAAGAGAGAGAACTAGGGCACCCTTCCCTGGGGTCCAGGCTGGGAAGGAAAGGAAATGATGTCAGGAGCAGCAAGTGAGCAGATATAGAGCTGGTGAGTGATAGCCATGTCTGTGAGTTGAGGAAGAGGTTTTGACAGAATATGGGCTCTCAAAATCAGGGCATCAGGACTGGGGTTGTAGCTCAGTGGTAGAGCACTTGCCTAGCATGGGTGAGGCACTAGATTCCATCCCCGGCATCACATAAAAATAAACAAATAAAATAAAGGTATTGTGTCCATCTACAACTAAAAATATTTTTTAAAAAAATCAGGGCATGAAATTCCTGCTGCAGCATTGGCTGTTGGTATCTGACATTTCTTAGGTACAGTGATTGTTGGCGTTCATCAGATTTAGCCTGAAAGAGAATGGGTAAAGCAGAAAACCATTTAGGAATTGTGGCACTAGATTTTCTTCTTGGTGGTTGTTGAAATCTAGAATAGGGCTGGATTCAGGTGGAAGAGAAAGCCTGTATGTCAGGTGCAAAGAGTTTTCAGTGACCAGAGATAGTAGAGGACAGCAGTGTGAAGGCCAGTCCACTACTGGAACCCAGGCCATGACCCCAAGGGAAGAGGACTGTGCTAGTCAGGGCTGTCCCAAGAGTCTGAACCAACAGACCCTGTGTATGTGTGTGTGTGTGTGTGTGTGTGTGTGTGTACACACACACACACACACACACACACACATACATATATTCCTTAAAAGCAAATGTTTGTATGTATTGATTGATTGATATTAAGGAATTGGCTCATGAAACTGTAGAGGTGCACAAGTCTAAAATTTGATGGGATAGGTCAGCAGGTGGAGGCTCAGGAAGAGTTGCAGTTTAAGTCACGAGGCAGTTCACTGGCAGGATTCCCTCTGCTCAGAATGTCAGTTTTGTGGGCTGGGGATGTGGCTCAAGCGGTAGCGCGCTCGCCTAGCATGCGTGCGGCCCAGGTTCGATCCTCAGTACCACATACAAACAAAGATGTTGTGTCTGCTGAAAACTAAAAAATAAATATTAAAAAAAATTCTCTCTCTCTCTCTCTCTCTCTCTCTCTCTTTAAAAAAAAAAAAAAGAATGTCAGTTTTGTTCTATACAGGCCTTCAGCTGATTAGATGAAGCCCACCCACATTATAAAGGGTAATCTGCTTTACTCAAACTCTACCATTTAAAGTGTTAGTCTCATCTAAAAAAAAAAAACACCTTCACTATCCAGAATAGTGTTTGAACAAATATGAGGCCCAGGTGAGCTGATAAATAAAATTAATCACCACAATGATCCCCTGCAGGGGCAGTGATCACAGTAGCAGGGATTTAGAAGAAGATTTGCCTGCACACACCCCAGCCCTGGGGATTGAGAAGACCAGTTTGTTTTTTTTTTTTAGTGTTTTTATAAAAATTATAAAATTTATGAGATTTTTATAAAGATTCATTGGGAAGTATTTTATATTCTAGAGTATAACATTAGTAATCCTATGTCCTTATTTTTTTATTTTACATTTTATAATGTCAAATATTTTTTGTACTGATTATCTCAGTTTATCATTCAAACCTTCAGTTTAACTCACTGTCCTCAATCCCCTTATCTCCAAGTGAGAGTGCTGGACAGGTATCCTTTGTTGCCATTTATCAGCTGTTGTCACACAGATACAGCAGGGCTCCAGGTTCCTGTGTTCTCACTCCCACAATAAGCATGGTGTCCCTGGAGAGTGACCACCTCACATTGTTCTAGGAAGTGAGAGCTCCTCCAGGAGTGTCAGATTTGGATCCCATGACAGCTGCTGGCCGTGACATTAGCACTTGCCCCTATGGAAGAGTGGCACATCCCCATTGGTGTGTATTCTTTGTTTTCGGTGTGTCCCAGAAGTGTAATAATGTGAACCAGCAGTAAAAAGAATATGTCTTTTCACTAGAGGATCTGGGCATTTGGGGGGTGGCATGGGACCTCTGTGACAGGATTTATTGTAAGTCTTTTGCTGACTCAGCACTGTTTTCTGAAATCAGAGCCTAGAGGCTGGTGCCTCTTGATGTTCAGAGGCAAAGAGAAGCAAAAATGTTTTCTTATCCCTGGCCAAAAATAGGTTGGCTTCTGTGTTTACTTGAGTATTACTCTGGACCACAGAATGAAGACTTAGCTATAATAAACCTGCCTGGAGACACTTTCTGTGGGAAGCTGGGAAGAGAGACTCCAGTTCCTCGAGGCTCAGCAGTTCCACTTAATGTATCTACGAGGACAGTAGCCTCTCAGAAATAGCGCAGTGCCTGGCATATAATGACCCCCAGTAACCATTTGCTGAACAGATATATGAACTGAAGATTTCCCTTTATCTGTTCCTATTATTTGATCCTGTGGAGTGTGAAGAATATTTTGGGCTGTATTTCAGGATGTATCTGTTCTTTGGGTAAATGTTGGATGAACTAAGGGTAGAAATGCCTTAAAGATAATGACAAAACACCAGCATTTAATTATCTTCAAAGAATAAAGAGATGGAACCTCTCCTTCCTTTTACAGTGCCCGTGTGAAAGCTGGACAGAGCGTTCTGGTTCATGGGGCTAGTGGAGGAGTAAGTATTTTTTTTTTTAAGTTTATGTTTAAGTGAGCTTGGGTATATGGGTTTCACAGAGTTCAAGTTGTTTTTTAAGAATYAAATTTATAAATACAGTCAGGGCCACTTTTGTTCCCATTATATGGTGAAACTTTTTAAAATCCAGTCTCCTAAAGGTGATTTTCATTACCTTGTGAGCTTTTTTTAGCTAATAAATTCCACAGGGCAMCTCATTATAATGTCTGTATTAGATTTTTTTTTTACCTATGTTGGGGGTGGGCCAAGGTAAACTGGCTTTGTTTTTGCCTTCAAGTAGCATGTTACAAGAATATTTATTGAGAATTTCAGACAGTTCTAAAGGTTAATATTAATTCCATATTCCCTTAGATAAGGAAATAAAACTCATTAGAGCTTCCTCTGTGTGGCCCCAGACTGCAGCGAGAAGCTACACTACTCAGTCCTTTTTGCCTCCCCTCCTTTCTTGCCTGCTGCGCTTTGATGACATTCATGGAGTGCACGGTATACAGCTGTGTCCTTAACACCACAACCCAGGGCTTAAGATGCTAATGTTGGGGAGGGGGGCGAGGGCTCAGAACTTGTAAAATAAGCCCTTCACAGAAATCACCCAGCACCAAGCTGTCAGAAACCTCTTCAAGAACCTGGCTGCCAATGGGCCTCTGAGGAGCTTAGAAGAAAAGTTAGAGCTCTGAGGTTGGAATTTAACAAGAAATCCACATGACCTCTATATCCTGCACAGAAAGGCCTTGGCAATTTTGGAGACAAGATTTTGTATTTTCAAAATAAAAGGCCCAGGCTGAAGTGGCTCACCTTGAGGAAGCTGGTTAACCCTTGGTGAGCACTGTGTGTTCTGGAGAGTACACTGTAAAAAGTAATCTATTATGTGGTATATTGTGCCCTGAATAATGAGAATGGTCTCCTGACCTCCAAAAATGGACATGTGATTCAGAGAAGGCAGTGCATTTTTGTCTATTTCTTTAGATGACTCTAGCTTCCTGTCTACCTCAGATAGATCAATTCTGAAGGACTTCACTGCTCGGACTATTTACTAAAAACACCGATTGTCTTTATGGGGCTTAAGAAAATATGACAGATAAGCTCTGTCAAAAATGCCCATTGTTTAGCTCCAGAGAAGAGGCTATTTTTGGGTTAGGTTAAATTTAACCCTAAATAACTGAAGGTCTGTCAAACACATGCATTTATTTAAATTGCTCTGGCTTTCTGAGAGTGACCTTATGCTCTGTGTAGAAGAGAAAGATTTCAGTAGGAAGGAGAAGAGTTTAAAGAAAATCTCTCTTTATTCCCTTACTCTCTTGTAAAAAGCCCAGTTGCTTCACCATGTTTTTTTTTNTGTGTGAAGCGCTTCTGATCCTCCCTGCCCTATCAGAGGGAAACAGAGTGCTGGGTTTTGCCTTGCTTCTGTTTGTACTTTCTGTCCTCATTTAAAGGAAATTTTTTTTTATTCCCTTACTCTCTTGTAAAAAGCCCAAGTTCTTCATTTTTTTTTTTTTTTTTGTTGTTGTTTTTTTTTTTTTTTTTTTTTTTTTTTTTAAGGTAAAATCCACACTGTTTTTGGAGCTGTTTGTTAAATCCTTGCCTGGCAGGGATAGGCTGGCGACCTGGTGTGTGAAGCGCTTCTGATCCTCCCTGCCCTATCAGAGGGAAACAGAGTGCTGGGTTTTGCCTTGCTTCTGTTTGTACTTTCTGTCCTCATTTAATTCAAATTCCTTTGGGATTATGTTGTGTGTTTAAAATGGTGTAGGATTTATAAACACAGCTATTGTCCTGATATGTTGGTGGGGAGTGTTATTTTAGTGTTAGCAAAATAAGTAGAAGAAAAATAGTTGCCACATAATGGTGCATAATCTGTTGAAAGAGTATTGCTGGTAAAATTGTTGATGAGAAGAGAATAAACAGTGTTTTTACAAAGCTATCAAGTACCCTTCAAAGCAGAGCACAAGGAAATATACTTACATTAAATCTTTATTTTAAAATGTGGTTTTATTTGAGGCCTGTGATTTTTAATTGAAAATCAAAGTAGCAAAGTCCGTTGTGATGACCCAATAGCGTACTGTGTTTGTGAGTTCTGTGCATTTGTTGGTGTGTTGGTTAGATCCCATAAGTGCCTGCCATAACCTGACTGAGTTAAATCATCATTCCCATGTGCTTTATAATCTTTAAGGTCTATTTCAGTCCTGGGAGTCTGTGATTGCTACAATTTTAATCAGTTTCCCTCTCATCATTGTTCATTTAAATTATTTTCTGTCTTGCTTAACCAAATCCTTTCTCTAGATCAGTAGTTATCATTGGCTTGTGGGGGAGTGAGTCTACATCATCATCAAATGTCTAGAGACATTTTTGGTTGTTACACTGGGGAAGAGGATTCTGGCATCTAGTGGGCAAAAGCCAGGGACGCTGTCAAACATCCTTCAATGCTCAGAATAGTTCCCCACCACAAAAAAAAAATGATATGGCCCAAATGTCATTAGCACTAAGTCAAGATTTCATAAAAGTATGTGACATTTATCTATACCATTGATTTGGCGTATAGTAAAAAATTTATTTCCTGGTATTGATATTTAAATAATTGTTCCTTTTTCTATAATCCTAAATTACTTTTCTCTTTTGTACTAAGCACCTTTATCTGGCATTCTAATGACTTCATCCACCTGTAAGATGATGATGTGCATTTGTTGGTGTGTTGGTGCAAGCCCATACCCACTCTGCCCTCCTCTGGGGGTGCTGTGCAGCTCCAGTGTGTTCCAAGTGGACTTTGCTTTCACAAACATGATGCTCTTGGTTAATAAAGCCAGTTGATCTGGCTGAAGACCCAAGAGACGTCCTTGACCTTCCTCCTTGCCTTCCACATTTGATCTGTGAGGAAGTCAAATCAGTTTGCCTCTAGGTATCTGAATTGTTTTTGTTCTTTTTCTTGCCACTACCTTAGTCCAAGCCAGCTTTGTTTCTTCTCTAAACTGTTAACACCAGCTATGAACTGATCTTTCTTCCCCTTTCYTCTCTTCTTTCTTTGTGCCCTGCATATAATTGGAGTGACCATTTTTAAAGTCTAAGTTGATCATATACTACTGCTAGACCCTCCAGTGATTCTGCATAGTTTTTAATAAAATCCAAAGCCTTTATCTTACCTCTAAGATCCTGTCACTTTGGCCTCTCTTTGTCTCTCTGGACTCATCTTCCACTCTCTCTCCCTTGCTTGAGTCACATTGACTCTCTTCCTGTTCTTTGAACACCTCAGGCACATTCCCACTCCACCCAGTTCACTACCTACCTCATCCCCTCCAGTGGCTGCCCGGATGTTCATGTGGCTTCTTGCTCACTTCCTTCAAGCCTCATTTCTCAAGAGTGGACTTTCCTGATGACCTAAATTGCCCCTTTCCTTATTTCTTTCTAACCCAGTAGCCAGTTTTATTTTTTTTTCTTAGCATTTACCATTTTCTGAATTTATTTTATTCATTTATTTATTGATGTGTTTATTATTTTCCCCTCTCCCTAGAATGTTAAGTTTCTTACATTAATCATCTTTAACATAAGAGTAAACACTCAATAATTGAGTAGCACAGTTAATTTGCCCATGTACCTGTCTCTTTTATTTAAATGGTATAGGCCTTATTTGTTATTCAGTATTTTTTTAACCAGTTGAAGTATAAAATCAGTGAGCATTTTCAGATCATCTTTAAAGCCCATACCTTCTGCACAAAGCAGATGCTAAGCAAACATTTCAATTTCGATACAATGGTTAAAAATTCATGTTCTATAGTCTGATATGATTTGGTCCAGCTCCTGTTCTCTTTCTGTATGTGACTTGAGCAAGTTAGTTCTTCTTTTTTTTTTTTTTTTTTTTGTACAGGAGATTGAACCCAGGGGTACTTTACAGAGCTACATTCCTAACCCTTTTTGTGTTTTTATTTTGTGACAGGGTCTTGCTAAGTTGCATAGGGCCTTGCTAAGTTGCTGAGGCTGGCCTTGAACTTTAGATCCTCCTGCCTCAGCCTCCTGAGTTGCTGAAATAACAGGTGTATGCCACAGTACCTGGCAAGAAACTTAAGCTTCCTTGTATGAGGAATACAGACAGATATAATATCTACTTTAGGATCATTGTGAGGATGGAATAAAGCAGTATATAGAAAGTATTTAACATGGTTCCTAGAACATTATAAGCACTCAATACAAGTGAGCTATTTTTCTTATTTCTTTACATGCTAAGTTCCTTAAAGATAGGTTAAATCCCAGAAGGACCTGAAGCTCATTTAATGTTTATTGAGTGTTTTCAGGAATGCAGAAAATATATAACTATTGTGTTATATTTTGTTTTTCAGGTTGGATTAGCAACATGCCAAATTGCTAGAGCTTATGGCTTAAAGGTTTTGGGCACAGCTGGTACTGAGGAGGGACAAAAGGTTGTTTTGCAAAATGGAGCCCATGAAGTATTTAATCACAGAGAAGTTAATTATATTGACAAAATTAAGGTAAAATTTTCTTCAGTATACAAAAGTCTAACATTGTTGATTGGAGACTTAAATTTTTTTAATTCATTCTTTTACCAACTACTCTCTTAAGGTTGTTTGCTTCCTTTTTTATGACTGTATTTTTATGCTTATTTGTGTTTTAAAGTTTTAATTAATTTAAAAATCAGATGTCTCATTTTTCTAATTTTACTATCATTTCTGTATTGTGTATATGTACTAAATAAAATATAATATTCCTAAAGCCTTAGGGCTATAAAAATTGATGCTCTTTAATGCAAATCACATTGTAAGTACAGCTATAGCTTTGTATTTATAGCTATGAGGTATCCTTAATATAATTTCTACTGATATAAAATTTCCATGCAAGGTGAGATACCTGGTATCTGTCTAGTTTTCTTATCTATAAAGTATTGGTTAACTGGGTGCTGGAGGAGTCATCCATAGTGGTGAGGTAGTATTTAGTTGGCTGTTGAATATTAACAGAGTTCCGGTCAATTCTCAAGTTCTCCATTTGCACTCTAATAGCAATTTGCTAAACACTGATTACTTTGCTAATCCTCAAACCACAACTTCCTTATGTTAGAAAGAATTAGGATTTCTCAGGTACTGAATACTTCTTAAAATAGATCAACTAGGGAGAAACACAAGTGAGAGTTCATTATCACTAAATCATCTCACCAAAAAACTGATCAAAGAGATTTCTTGGTCATATGTCCAGGGACCTAGTATCCCTTACTCAATCCTAATACTGTTCTCCAAAAATATTTACAAAGATGGAAATGGCCTGTTATTTTGCAGATGTGTTTCTTTGTTTGGCGATAATCTGATTTCAAGTCCATAAGGTTTTGTACTTTCCATCCCTTCCACTGATTGCTTCTACTTAAGTCTTTCCCACTCTCAAAACACATCATTCTCCTAACCTATCATCTCATTTCTTTTCTTTGCTCTCCTTTTCCATCAAACTTCTTAAAGAAGTTAGTAAGTACTACTGCTTTTCCTTCCTCACCTCCGATTGCAGTTTTGCTTCCATTCCAACTTCTTAAACTGCTCCTCTGAGGTCACAGTCTGCTCGTCTTATCTCAGTTCTCATCCTGTTTGATTTTTTGGAGCATATGACCCTGACCACATCTCCTTAAAGCTGATTCTCTTCTTGCTTCTCTGACTGTTCACCTTCCTCTTCATATGAATGAAATATTGATGTTCCCTGGTGATTTTTTTTTTTTTTATCCTGGTCTCTCTTTCATGTGCTAGAYTTTCCCCTAATCAACCTCATTTGTCCCAGGGCTTCAGGTTTTACCCATGTGCTGCTGATTTCTAGAACTGACTCTGGCTTGATGTCCATTCCTTCATGCTGCTAGACTGCTAGACCTCACCACTCATCTGCTCACCCAAGATAGGAACTCTCATTTTATTTTAATCACCATTCTCCCTTCCACCCAAGTTGGTCACCTCATTCTGCCAGTTTCACCTCTGACATGCCTTTATGCAGACCTTTTTTTATCTATTCCACCCACGTGTAACTTAGTTTAGGCCTCAATTTCTTCAGTCTTGACTATTAATTATAGATTAGCTAATAACCCCTTTTGTCTTTTCCACTTTTTAATCAGACTTACTTGTGTTCTTCCTTTAAAAAAATACCCAGAAGTAGCTAAAATGGCAACTGCTTTAGAAAAGGAATTGTTGACCCTTAGTCCCTACTGCTGTTGCAGAGCCTAAAATAGTGCCTGGTGCATGAATCGATGCACAAATTCCAAATCCTTTAATATGGCATTCAATGTGTTGTTACAATCTGTATCAATTCTACAGTCCCCTCTCCCACAGTGCTGTGGTTTGGAGGAGCAATCCCCAGAGAATCATGCATGAAAGGCTTGGTCCCCAGCTTGTGTCACTGTTGGGAGGTAGTGGAACCTCTCAGAGATAGGGTCTAGTGGGAATCTTTCAGTGGTATGGAGACCTGACCTTGAAGGGGATATTAGGACTTTAACTYTTCTGTTTCTCACCATGAAGTGAGAAGCATGCTCCATCATGCACCCCCCACCATGATATACTGCATTGCTATAGGCCCTAAAGCAATGAGGTAACTAACTGACCATAGACCAAAGCCTCCCAAATTGTGAGCCCAAATAACCTTTTTTAATTTAAGTTGATGTTTTGTTAACATAACAGAAAGATGAATAACATGCACCTCCTCTCCCTGCTACTCCTCCTCATCCAGATACATACTTCAGTTTTCCTAAAGTTCCAATCCTTGACTTATCAGTTCCTTACATTTTTGGTATCTTAAATTGAGACTTACTCTTCTCCTGTCTGGCTTCTCTCACCTGCCTTCCTTTCTTTTTGCTTAGAAAATTCTTTTCCATACCCTAGGCTCAAGTCATTGCCTCTGTGGTTGCAGGCAATCAAATTTTTAACTTTTTTCTTCTATCATTCATGGCTTCTTCTGCTAATATAGTGCTTAGGCCATTACATTCCAGCTCTGCCTAGTATTTTCTCTTTCTTCTTTTTTTTTTTTAAGTGTTTTTTTTTTTATTGGTTGTTCACAACATTACAAAGCTCTTGACATATCATATTTCATACATTAGATTGAAGTGGGCTATGAACTCCCAATTTTACCCCAAATGCAGATTGCAGAATCACGTCGGTTACACATCCACAATTTTACATAATGCCCAATTAGTAATTGTTGTTTTTAGCTCACTATGTCCATTCTTTGCATTCTAGTATAGTATCTGCCATGGATATTCTTTTTTTATTGATAAAATGAATATCACGTAGATATGTACTAGCTTTTTAAAAGAGCCAGATGGAAACCAAATTCTCAGAGCCCAAAAGAAAAGAATTAGTGTGACAATCAGAGACAATCAGATGGTAAACCATTTGGAACAAAACTTCATGTACAAACACACACACACACACACACACACACACACACACACACAAATCCTGCAACACCAGAGTATTTGTTACTTAATAAAAATGGAAGCCCTCTGGGGTTTATGGATTTTGATTTGTTCATTTCTTTGTAAAAGATATTTTAAAGATGTGAAATCTTTGGCTAGGTAAAAAGTGGTTTATAGCACCTGAAAATTCCAGGGAGACTTTATTTCATTACATCAATTTATCCAGGACAAACTTTTATCATTTTAGATGTTGTGGCTGGTTCCTTGGAGTTACATCATCATTATATAATTAGATCATTTTAAAATTTACATTGTTATTCTTAAAAACATATCTTATTGTCACTTGAAGTGCATTTCTGTAAAATAATAGCTATTTTACAGTTTTTTCACTTATTATCTTACTCGCCATTCTTTTTTATTATGTAGAAATCTGTTGGTGAAAAGGGGATTGATGTGATTATCGAAATGTTAGCTAATGTGAATCTTAGTAATGATTTGAATCTTCTGTCATTTGGAGGAAAAGTAATAGTAAGTATTTTTCATTTCCACTTTAAAGTTTTACTGCAGTTTAATGCTCTCCTGCAGCAATCTTTGACTGTAGACCTGTTATTTCATAATAGGTTGTTGGCAGCAGAGGCCCTATTGAAATAAACCCACGGGCCACCATGACGAAAGAGTCTAGTATAACTGGAGTCACTTTATTTGCATCAACCAAGGTAGGAGAAGAAGAGCTTCAAATTTTGTTAACTTGGACATTGGTACAGTTTGCCTAGTCTGACAGCCTGAAGTTAGGGTAGATGCTAAGCTTGGTCGTCTGACCAGAGGAGTGGGTAAGGTTAAGTGACCTGATGGGTAATGAAGGCAACAGTACAATTTATTACCCAAGTCAAGACTCATGAAAGAGAAAGGTGATACTACCAGTAATTATTCAAGACAATAGGTATTTTATAAACTAACACTATCCCAGGCAAATGGAACTTATTGTTACTCTTTAGAGAACTAGTTTTTCTGTAGTTCTGGACAAATTGACAAAAGCCATCCATTTGTAGGAGACTATTTGTGATATAAATCTTAGAATCTAAAGTTTTTGAAAGCTTCTAAAAATTAAGTCATATAGTCTACTACAAAATATATATATATATATATTTTTGCTCTCTTTTAGGAGGAGTTTCAGCAATCTGCAGCAGCCCTTCAAGCAGGAATGGAAATTGGTTGGTTGAAACCTGTGGTAGGATCTCAGTATCCCTTGGAGAAGGTGGCCCAGGCTCATGAGGATATCATTCGTGGTAGTCGGCCTCCTGGAAAAATGGTTCTTCTCTTGTGATAATTCCTTCTTCTGTGGTCTTCTTGTGCAACTAGGAGGCATTCTGTCCTCTAGACTTAGCCTACAGTTTCTTTAATTAACATTCAATTGACTTAGTGAGTTTCTCATATTAAAAAACAAGATTTTTTTTCTTTAGGGAACAGAGAAAGTGGAGGAAAACTTATTTTGTAGCTAGCCATATTTTATATGCCTTCTATCTCAATTTAAGGAGTCGTCATAGTAGGGAAACAGCATGTTGGTGGTCATATGGCATTAGTGTGATTTTAGAAATTCTTAAGTGATTCTACCACTTGATTAAAATGTGCGAATTTAAGACTCTTTGATTTCCAAGCCTACTTATTTGTATCAACAGTTCACTAATCTTCTCTGATTACCCCATAGCTGTAATGGACCTGAAACTCTCTAGACATTTTCATACTAATCTCATTTGAACTTGTAATCTTTTGGAAAGGCAAAAATATGTAATACCTAGAGAAAATTTTTTTAGTTTTCCCAGTAATTCCCAAACTACTAGAATATGCACTGCATTCCTAATTGATTACCATTTCATGCTTTTAGTCCATGATGCTAGGTGCAGAGTCACCAAACAGGTATTTCTGGATTCATTGGGTTTTCAGAGTAGATTTAGAGTTACTAGGTTTTGTGATGTGGGTCACATATTGTTATTTAAATTAATAAGTTCACTAATTTTGTACACTAAAAATGATCTGCTCTTTTTTTTTTAATTCTGTAATAAATCCTATAGAATATTAGCCGTGTATTTGTCTAGTGTGTCTTTGTGCAGTACTGGTCTTACATCATTTCTGCATGACTCCTAATGGTTACTTTACAGTATTCTGTTCTGAAACTTCTTTATCTGAACTAAATAAAAAGATGGCCTTAGTAATCACTAGCATTATGTTCAAGGAAATAAAGTTTGGTTTTTTATTATTTTTTTTCCTTCCCATGAACACATCCTTCTGTTTCTTATTATATTATATGCTTGGTTATCTTATCTGATTTGTTTTGTTGAATGACAACTTCTAGTCTAAACATGTAATCCTGCTTTAGTAGTGAACAGAAAGCACTGCTAATTCCAGAAATTGGCTTCTGGCTCTCTCTGCTGTGGCTGAAGTATTTTTGCTATTATCATTGTCTGAGATCATAGGCTATTTCTTTTACAGGTTAACGGTCCTACACGATAACATTTTGGGGAAAAGAATTAAAGCAGTATTATTAATCAGAAGGCTAGCATTTTATGTGTTTCCAAAAATAGGGGATTCTTTTCTAGGCAAAAAGACAAAGGAATAATTATTCTGTAAAAGTCAGTTTAATGTGTTTGTACACTTACCTGATCCATAGAATGAGCTAACCTGTCAGTCATCTTAACACTTCCCAAGTCATTAATACAGTTCAGATAATATTGAAGGCAAAACTAGCCAGGCTCTATGGATTAATGGCAGTGATTATGATTATATAGCTTTGGAATCATTTTCTGTACAAATATCCTTGTAATTCTATATCTGGTCCTCTCCTAACTTCCAGCTGACAACATTCACTAGTTAGGGCTTTGCACTACTACATAGTCCCCTGTGCCTGTCACTGCTGTTAAGTAGAGAATAATATGTGGAATAAACAAGCATTATTTCACGTGGCAACCTTCTGGATTTCTGTTTCTGTTTGCTTTGACTTCTGTGGACTTGACTCCTTGCTGCAGTCTGGCTGGGCACAAAATCACGAGCCACTCAAGCAGGAACAAACTTTATTTTTGAAACTGCCGCCAATACCCCATACACGCCCAGGAAGAAGCTGATCCACACACGCTGCGTTCTCCCGGAACCCCAGAACAAGTTCCTCCCCCGGAATTTCCTCCTACTGTACTTCCCCAACCAATGGGAACTCTGCAGGAGTCCTGTAGCAGGCCAAGGTGAACAGCAGGAGTCCAATATCCATATGAATGCAAATCTTAACATAATCATATCATCTCAATGGCTAGCTGGTGTCACCTTTCAACCAAAAATGCCATGCATCATATTACTTGGCTTTGGCTCTTAGCAACTCCTAACTATGTTTGTACAAGCAAATTAAACAACTTCCGGGAGCCCCCAAATGTGAAGCAACATGCTGAAGGTCACAGGACTAGGGGATTCAAACTCAGCTGACAATTATTTTTAGTAACCTGTTGATATAAAACCACAGATTCCTAAACTTTAATTCCAAGGTCTCAGGCTATGCTAGCTCACTGCACCTCTGACTTCTGTAGCAGGTGCACTCCCTGCTTTCTAGCTTCATCCTCCCGAGAGTTCTAGAACCTGGGCCTGTTTGTCATCTTTATGTCACTTGTTATGTGTCCCCTGATTTGGCAGACTTCTGGAAAGAAGTGAATATCCATTAGTTCACCAAGTACTTACAAATTCCACTGGTGGAATTTGAGAACACAAAGACACAGGACATGGTCCACAACATTGAGTTTACAGTTGAGTAGAGATGAGACCAAATAAAATGTTAGAGTATAAGGGAGTGTATCAATCAGACAAGGTTCTCCAGAGAAACATAATCACCAAGCCATATATGTATAAAGAGATTTATTGAAGGAAACCACTCACGCAGTTGGGGCTAGAAAGTGAAGGCCAGCAGTATGGCATTACAGGCAGGGTTCTATGTTGCAACGTTGAGATTAAATTCTTTTTCAGGAAAACTCAGGAGTTTTGGCTCCTACAGCTTTCATCTAACTGGATGAATCCTACCTGCATTATTGAGGGAAATCTCCTTTAAAGTTGTCATAATTTTATGCAAATGAATAAATAAAACATGATGATTTTATGTTAGCACATATAACCAAACTTCACATGGGATATCATGGGGACACAGAGCATAGGCACTTAATATAGCCTGAAATTTCCAACAACACATTTTATGCTTTTGTTGGCTCTCCATCTAAGTGGCTTTGGTGATAGTGACAAAAAATAAATTGGGTGTTTTGGAAAGAGGGAAAAAAAAATCAGGTAGCATTTTTCAGTGTCCTTAACTCAGCTTCACTGAAGTAAGAAATGATATGTGTGCCAGCTCCCTGCCAGCTTCTACAATTCACAGTGCAAAGAGCTTTTTTCTATACAAGATAACTGCTAAGAGCAGCAAAACCCATCAGGTCACTTTGACCTGGCTCTCTCAGCCTCCTCAAGCACATGCCACAGATAGGAAAACAACTTAGCTCAACACTTAGTCATCTCTTTCTAATAGCGTCAATTTTTGTGCAGCCCTTTTAAAAACTACCATTTGAAAACTGCTTTTTTTTTTTTGTACTTAATAGGATGCATATTATGGGAACTTCTTACCTAATCTGTCAGTGGTCCATCAATGACCTTTAGGTCATACATGAGGACAGTCCATATATATTCTTTAGAAGTAAGTCTAATGCTGATTCCCCAAACCGTTGTATAATAGACATTAATTAAATAGGTACTAAACATAACCACAAATTAGCAGTTCTTCATTTATTCAGTCTCAATTTCATGTAAAAATACCCACGAAGACTACAACATTTCAGCAAGCTAAAGGAGTGATCCTATGCCAAAATCCATTTGGAATTTCTAACTCCAATGTCAATCATTTGATTTATTGAAACAAATTAGCTGCACGATGAGTAGGAAAAAGTTTCAACTTAGTCACTGTTTTTAGCAAGGACACGGGGGCTACTCTGCTGGAAACTCATACCCTTATTGCCTAGAAATCATCTATGTTATCTGGAGTTGACATCTGTGCTCACTCCACTGTATCCTTCAGTTTGTTGCTTTCATAGGCATTTTGGAAATTACAGGTTTCAATTTTCAATGTAGCTTCAGATAAAGGAAGGAGAAGGAATGTGTCCCCTTGGATATTGCCATATTTTGGATCTGAAACATTCCTTAGAGATCCATGTTTTAAAGCTTTTGTCCCCAGCTTGGTGCTATTGGGAGGTGATGGAACCTGTAAGATGTGGGGCTTAATGGTAAGTTTTAGGTCACTGGGGACATGTCCTTAAAAGAGGATTATGGGACTCTGATTGCTTCTTTTCCTTTCATGTTCCTCTGCCATGCGGTGTGGCTATGGTGCACTGCCTGGCACTGGCCCCAAAGCAACAGGGCCTACCAACCATGGACTGAAACCTCCTAAACCATGAACCCAAATCAACCTTTTCTCTTTAGAAAAGGTATTTTTTTTCCAGTAATGGAAACCTGACTAACAGATGTACAGTCACCACCAAGAAAACACGGACAGAGAGTAGAGGATCTCCCAGGTTGTAGCAGATGCTAGAAAGGGTACAACACTTGGACAAAGAACATTTGTCTGATTCTAGCAATGCTAGATTGCCCAAAAACTGTATTAGAAGATGCTCATGTGTTAGTCCAGCAGGCACTGGAATTGATACAAGGTATTCAAGAGGCAACCTCACTACAGGAACAGGTCCTATAAGCTCCCTTATTGACAAAGAAGAGGACCACAGGTGTGTGAAACTCTGGGGTATACTTCTAAGAACAAGGGTTAGAGAGACAGAAACCTGGCTTTAATTCCTAGCTCTATTAATAACCAGCTGTGAAATCCTAAGAAAATTACTTATATCATTTGGAGCCTCAATTTCCTAGCATATAACATGAGGTGGATGTAGAGATTGTATGAATTCAATAAGAAAATTACTATGTAGTACTTAGCACTCTTAGACAAGGAAGTATTTAATATTTCATTTTTATTAGTCATTCAGAGTAAATTGAGAAAAGGGGGAGGACTGAAAAAGGGAATATTGTGAAATATGCAAAAAATTTTAAAAAGGAACTCCAAATACAAGTTCCCAAAAGAGGTACAAATGAACATAATTACATAAATCTTTCTTGGTCATATGGATAAACTTGTTCCCAAAGTGTAGAAGAACAAGAGATGAGAAAAGTATATCATAGAATAAACAAAAACCGGATGAAAAATACTAATTCAAGAAAACTTTCCTGAACAAAAGAACTTTTGATCACTGATACTAATTATTTCTATGCAAAAGAGTACAATTAATAAGATATATCCTTTAAGTCTTTTAAATTTTGCACAATTAGATTTGGAAAATAACACACAGAAGAATTATTACTTACTGTTATGTCATTCAAAACCTGGAAAAATGCAAGAGGACAACAAAAACTAGTAAGGAGTTCAGAGAGATGACTGTGAAATAAATGTATAAAAATTAATATACAATTAGAAAATATAATGGGAAAAGGTCTTATTCATAGCTGCAATATTGCAATTAGTAATTTAAAAAGCAATGAAATGTAAGTGACCAGATTTACAAAAAAAAAAAAAAAAAAAATCATACAGGACCGTTAGAACGAAAACCATAACATTCTCCTCAGGGATATAAAGGAATTCTAAAATGATTCTTTCCTGGAGAGGCCAAGGCAGGAGGATGCAAGTCTGAGGCCAACCTCAGCAACTTAGGCTGACTCTGTGTAAAAATAAAAGATAAAAAATGGACTGGACTGGGGATGTAGCTCAGCAGTAAAAGCACCTCTGGGTTTAATCCACAGTATGACCAAAACAACAACAATAACAATGAAAATCTTCATCAAATTCATGTAAACATTCTCCCTTCATGCTCTCAAATTCAAAATCATATGAAACAAAATCTTATTAGGAATTTTTAGAAACTCCACAAAATGTCTTTAAGTCTTTAGGGGAAAAAGACAAATAGCCAGAAAAAAAATCAGAAGTGAAAATTATCTGGAACCAGTCTCAACAGGTAGGAACATTTTTCCAGAGTTAGAGTTACTAGAGTCCCATGGCCCCAAGTGTAAGTAGATCAGTGGAAAGTAAGTCTAGAAACACTTCCCACACTTCTGGGTGATAAAAATGGGTTTCCAATGATAAAAGAGTTTACTTGATAAGAGAACTGGCTACTCAGTAGGAAAAAAAAAAAAAGCTGGTGTATGACTTCACTTTTCATATCAAAAACATCTGATGGTTCAAAATTTAAATATAATAAGTAAAAAAGATATAGTAGAATACTTTTCTAAACTTGACAGATGAGAGACTCTTATGGTAACCATTACTCAAAGTCTCTAACTATAAAGGAAACAGCAAAATGGGAAAAGATCTCCAATAATAAACATTAATATTAAACCTACATATGTGGATTTCTTTTGATCCATTATTTATCTCATAGGAATTTATCCCGAAGAGCTAGACATATCTGTAAGGATATGTCAAAATGATTTTCATTACAGCATTGCTTATCATAGTAAAATATTGAAAACAACATAAATTCTCATCAATTGAGAGATTAACATGCTTCTACAATGATATAACGCAATACAACATAGCTATTGTGATAAGGTAGAACCATAGTTCCTAACACAGGAGTATGTTCAAGGCATAGTATTTAGAATATTAAAATTAAGAAGCAGGTATAGAATGTGGGTAGTATACTTCCACTTCTATATTACTATTTATGTGGGTCAAAAGACGCTTTGTAGATATTTATCAAAATATTTTGTCTTAGTGTTGGGATTATAAATATTTCCCCAATACTTTTACTTTT